ATGTGCCTATGTAAATATAATTGTGCTGAGGAATTTCAGATCATTTTCTATCTGTTCGACCCTGATATGTGGGCGTGTGCTAGACGCAGTTAAAATCGATGAATAACCAACCGTGAACATTCAATTTTTTTTCTAATTACTTAGAAGGGTCACTGTTTCTAAGTACGTATAGACACAACTCCTCTGTTGCAAGTTAAAGCTAAGTCACTATGCAGCTGACTTTTATGGATTTTCAAACACAACGCTTGCATAGGCTCAGTAAAAACGATGAAACTGGCAATCCACCATTGTATTTACAAATTTCATTCTATTTATTTATCTATCACAGTCTGTTCATATCTATCACAGATTGAACACAATTCTTGTAATTTATCTATATATCTATCTGCGTCAGTCTTTTCATCCCTCTCTCCCCTTTATATATATATATATATATATATATATATATATATATATATATATATTACATATTATATATATAGATATTTTTTTTTTTTTTTTCCTTTTCTTTTTCTTTTTCCTTCCTCTTCCCCCACTTTTTTTTATTGATTTCTTATGTTCTTTCCTTTTTCTTCATATAAATCCTTTTTTACCTTTTATGGAATATTTTCCCAAAAAAGGAAACTGAAGTATTGCTCATTAATCGTAGTTTTGAATAAAATCGTTCAGCACCATCATTCTTAGCCAACTGAAGATACGTTTGATTTTAACATTGAAACAAAATTTAGAATTTTGTCGTGGATGTTTACATGTTCTAATGTAACAGTGTATTATATATATATATATATATATATATATATATATATATATATTATATTATAAATTAACTAATTTAAAATATGGTGTAGCGAAGAAACCATATTTTAAATCAGTTAATGTATGATATTTATGCTCTGTAAATTTACATTGAGCACTTAATATCAATTAAGAACACCGCATTTTATATTTTACTGTTCTTTTCTTTTTTTATTATAATATATATATATATATATATATATATATATATATATATTAGTTATGAAGAATTTGGTAAATCGAATTGTATTGTCTCTTTAACTGCCACCTTCACCCTCCCTGCTTAATTACAAAAATTACACTACCCATCAATTTCTAATCACATTTTTTTCCTCTCATTTCATTGTTGGAAGTGTTACCTGATGATCTGAAATCCTTTAAAAAGGATTTTGGTGAAATAAATTATTGTAATGGTACCTTAAAGTGTCTGTAGTTCATTAAATATATATATATATATATATATATATATATATATATATATATATATATATATATATCAATTGACATTTAATCCCGTTCAAAGTAGTCTGGGTGCACACTCTTTATCCAGCGTAGTTTCCATTGACGGGAGCATTCCCGGAACTCTTTTTTGTGGGATAGGGAGTAGCTGCATCGCCTCATTCTTTCGGACTCCTTCGGCGTACTGTAATATTGTTCCGTTCACGTAGGATTTGATTTTTGAAGTAGAAAAATCGAAAAAGCAATCTATCTATGCCTAGCATTACAGAACGCAGTTTCAAAATTTCTAGCTGAATGTATTGCGCCATGGTGCTTATTTTCCCCCAGACGGTGCCGAATTGACTCTCTTAGATTGTGACATTTTAGTCCACGCACCCTATCTATCTATCTATCTATCTATCTATCTATCTCATTCTGTTCATATCTATCCCAGTCTGTTCATATCTATCTATGCCAGTCTATTCATATCTGTCTATCTATCTTCCAATCTCAGTCTGTTCATATCTATCTATGTAGCTAGCTAGCTTGCTATGTTCAGATCTGTTTCAGTTTGTTCATGCCTATCTATCTATCTTCGTCTGTTCATACAGTTTATACTTATCTATCTATCTATCTATCTATCTATCTATCTATCTATCAATTTCAGTCTCTTCATATGTATCAACCCTCAGTTTCTTCATACATATCTATCTTAGTCCGTTCATACTTATCTGCTCATACAGTTTATATTTTATCTATCTATCTATCTATCTATCTATCTATCTATCTATCTATCTATCTATCTATCTATCTATCTCATTCTGTTCATATCTATCCCAGTCTGTTCATAGCTATGTAGCTATCTAGCTAGCTAGCTCTGTTCAGATCTGTCTCAGTTTTTTCATGCCTATCTATCTATCTTAGTCTGTTCATATTTATCTGTTCATACAGTTTATACTTTATCTATCTATCTATCTATCTATCTATTACAGTCTCTTCATTTCTATCTCAGTCTGTTCATATCTATCTATCTATCTATCTATCTATCTATCTATCTCACTCTGTTTAATTAGCAGAAATCTCTATTTCATATAAGACAGGCAGAGAATTTTCAAAACAATACTTTTTACGAGAGGGTGGGGGCAAAACTTTGATAAAATTCTTTCAATTTGTTCTTATTATTCTGATCGTTGTTTTCGTACGAAGAATATAGATTTGAAGTATCACATCTTGGAGACTCTAGAGATTACGAGTTTACGTCACTCCCGGATTAGCCTGATACACGTGGTCCATTCCTCAACGGGAAATAAAAAGAGAAATGAAATGTATATTTGGGCCTCCCCCCTGCGTCTAACACAATATTTATGTTTGACAAGTGTTTAATTTGGTCGTGCTTTCAACCAGAAGCTCTTGGAAATACGTCTAATTTAATCCAGCTCTTCTTTCAGGACTTTGGCGATTATGGCTTCCATAGTTTCCTGTCGTTTTTAACGCTTAATAAACTTTGACTTTTTGTTACCTCCCCTAAGCATTGTTTGGTCATCCATTGACTCAACCTCGCTAGGTAGGTTATACATTGTTTTCTTCAGTTAGTCATGTGAGTATCAAATTTTCCAAGCCCTCTTTCCTCATTATGTACCCTAGAAATTTCAACTGTCTCTTTCTGATATTAAGTCCTATTTGTTTCCATTATCTCTAAAACATCGTCGTTGCTCATATGTTCAGTCTATTGTATTCTCAGCATCCTCCTGTAGAACCAGATTTCTGTTGATTCAAGTCCTTTCTTTATCCGTGAGTAGAATGACCAACATTTACTTCCATATTGCATAACTGTTCAGTAGTCATTTCTTTGTTTTTGACGATGTTTTTTTTCTCTTTGTTAATACTTTGCTTAGCTTTTGAAACGCATCTTTTGTTATCCCAATGTAATTTTGGATTTCAGTGTCGCCCTTTCTATCCGCTATTGAAACACTTCCTAGATATTTAAATTGTTGTATACTTGTTTAATTTTGTTATGCCCTATTTGTAATTTGTATGTTGGGCTGTCCCTTTTGCAGGTATCCATGAATTCTGTTTTCTTGCAATTTATCTTCTTGCAGTTTATGTCTAATCCTCGCTCTCCGTCACTACCTTCTGTGCGAATTTTTGTAGTTTCCTTGACAGAAAAACGCTCCACCATCCAAAAAGAGACAAAAATGGACGCATTTTTTTTAAGCAAATATAAAGTGGTTTGGTTTGCCATGTGTAATAGATGTCAGTTATCTCTTGTTAATTCCCCTTTCAAAGTTCTCTACCGATTAAACTCACACTTTTCGCGTCCTCTCACTGGATCTAACTAACGCCTTTATCCACTGTGCCATTTGTCCTTTGGGACATATGTGTATGAATTTCTGGGTATTATAAGCCTAATGTCTACAGCAACCATTTTTTACCAGTGCTCATATTGCAATTTTTGCTGTTATCATTGCATTTTTTTTTACCAGAGCTTTTTCTGTTATTATCGATTTTCTCTGGCACTCCTTATTACTGATTCCCATATTGTATTCATTTCTATGCTTGGTCGGCTCAGGATATTTTTGAGCCCTAGCTGCTCGGCCTGGGGGCAATGATCAAAGTGTAGTACGCTGCCTTTGTGAGATTCTGAGTCGGCGTCTGTCGAACTCTCTGCTAACGCAGAGAGGAACCCGGACGAAGCTTTGCCGAAGGGCAAGGTTTCGTTCGGGGAGGTAGACAGGCCCTGAACCCGTCTAGGCGGGTTCAAAGGCTATATTTTTGGCCGAGCCTACTGGCTCGGGGATACCCACATTAAACCGGCCTTGTGCCACATTCTATCCTCGTGGGTGGATTGATAAATACTAAGCATGTATTCTGATTCCTAAGTTTACGACATGGCACGTGGAACTAGAATAGTCTAACCTAGACATTCCAATCACCTGAAGAAGGCCGGAGCGTACAACGGCCGAAAATTTGTGATAAACATGGCGACAAAGATGAGGACAATAGTCCGAATAATGTAAATAGTGTAAAAGTATATAAGTCTTAATGTAGTGACCTTTCTTCTCAATAACAGCCTGCAATTTTTCATTCATTGATTTTTTGTTTGTTTTACTTCAGCAGGTTCATTTTTCGACATGTTGGTTTTAATTGCTTCCTTTAGTTTGCTATGCCGTCATACTGTTTGCCCCCATCATATAATTTTATTTTCACAATTGCCCAAAGATATTAGATCGGATTCAGATCGGTACTTGGTGGTTACCATCCCATTATCATCTCTCCTGTAAAGCTTTTTACGCTGAAAATATTCAGGGGTATCTTTAGATATATGAAAAGACACACTGCCTTGCATAAATACACATTTCACTTGAAACTGCGAGGCTGGCATTTGTACAATTCAAAGATAGTCTTATCCATTAAATTGCAATATTTGCCACAGTTCAGTTAAAGACTTCCATCTAATTTAAATTGTCCAATAATGGTTTGGTCAAAAAATTTCAAAACCATATCATGACACGACCGCCTCCTTGATGCTTTCTTTTAGCTACACGCACATCTGCCTCAGAAAAATCCATCTTTATACCCATCCTCCAGGTCCATCGTATTCGGCCATAAAAATTGCGTTAGAAAATATCGCTGTTCATGTATTTCTTGGCTTAATTTTGACGTTTTAATATATTTGATTTAATGGGAGGAGATTTCTTAACAGGTCCGAATTTGGAAAGTATTCTACACCCTCAACTCCACCCAGTTCAAAGATCTGAGCACTGGTCAAAATAGTTGTCTCGTTGGAAGTTCGATTTATTTTAGGTCCCCCTCGGGGAGACAAGTCCTCAAAGCCATTTCCTTTGCTGCTAGTTATATTTTCGACAACCCTCTTTATAGTTCGAAGATATCAGCGAAGCTCCCTTGATATCTCCAATGTGAACAATTCCTTGCTCAATAAATTCGTTATTTTCAATTTTCAGTATTTCTTAGATCACTTCCATTAGCCATGTGTCAACAAATATATAGTTGATAAAAAAGAAATTATAGATTTTATTAGATCGCAACGGCTTTAAATTAATATTAGTTTAATCTGCATAACTTCAGTTTCAGTTTTTATAATAATTCCAATAACTTAAATAAAGCATGTTGAAATTACCAAAAAAATTTAATTAATCTTTATTTCAACCTATAAATTAATTGTTTAAAATTTAAAGATCTTTGGAAGCAAATTCGAGTTATTGTGGTTAATAGAATTTTTATAATAACTTCAGCCGGATTATATATACGGACAACTCAAATTTGATACATGAATGTCGTGTCTCAATTATTTTGGTAACAATGTATCGGCTGCCTTGTATTTAAATAAGGTTCCATTAACATCAACACTAATTCATCGTTTTACAGTCATAACACACCGCGCCCCAACCAATACAACTGAAAACATTATGTATACGAATTTAAACCTTGAATATTTTGGCGCCAATCCCACCTTAAATTATTTTCATTAAACTGACAACAATACAAGCGCCATGTTGGCTATTTCTAGCTCTCCTTTTCTCTTGAGGACAAACAAGGATGGTCGAAAATATTCGAGTCTGAATGCTTATTTTCAACAAGTTCCTAAACAAATGTTCATCTAAAATGAAAACGATGAATTCGACACCAGGGGAAACACGGTAAAATTTGACATAAATCTTCTGTGTATGTCTAGAATTTTAACAGTATTTAAAGGTATACAAATGACTATGAGTTTATGTAAATACAGGGTGCGTGGGCTAAATTGTCGCCATTTTATATTTTTAATTTCGCGTATGCGCGTTATTTGTTTTTGATTTTGTCGACTGCACAGTTTAAGAAGATCAGTTCGGCACCATCTGGGGAAAAATAAGCACCGTGACGCAATTCACTCATCCAGATATTTGAAATGGCAGAGGATTCGGAAAAAGTTGGATGCGTTTAATGGTGATTAAGAAGGTACGGCAGCTCGGAAAACTCATTCTGATCATTCCGATAAGAAAGGCACTTCCGAATTACTTGGTGAGGGACTAAGAATCAAAACGGAGGCAAACATGAAGTGCCTTGAGGAAGTAGTGCTGCTCTGGGTCAAGAGGTTGGCTCTGGAAGACACTATGTCTGGCAACATACGAGCAGAAGACCCTAGTCATGGCTGCGACCACATCCCGTACATTCGGCCAGTTAACTCACCGGACTGCAACCGCCTTGATTATTATGTGTGAGGCTCAGTTGTGCGAGAGACCAACAAAACTCCTTGTAACACCAAAGATGAACTGAAGGCAAGGATTATGACCGCATTCCTCAATTTAAACAAGGAGACCGGCCAGAAGACATGCAGAAGATTAGGAAGTTGTCTGGAGGACATAGTTGAAGATTTTATTGAATAAATTTAGTCTTTAGTATGTGTATATATATATATATATATATATATATATATATATATTTGTAAATTTAGTAAATATATATGTTTAAATGAGATGTCGGTGTTATTTTCATTTTTGCATAATTTAGACGATAATTTATCCATCGCACTTTGTATACTCGTGCAGAAAAATTGCAATTCATTTTCTGCATGTCTAATGATCGTGGCGAATAATGTGTGGGCGTGTGCTACACGAAGATGAGATCGATAAATAACCAAAACTGAGCATCGATTTTTTTTTTATGCGATAGAAAAGAGTTCGTTTAAATTTCATTGTATATTTGCGACACCCATCAAATGCTAGTTGATACGATTATTGTATGAAATAGGCATAAAGGCGAAACATCTATTATAAGACAAACATAGAAAAATAAACTGTATTTTTCCCATAATAATTGATACATTAACTGTATGAAATGTGTATAGAAATGGAACAGCTATTATAGGACAGATATAAAAATTGCTACCTCTGTCCTGTAATAATTGGAACGTTTACAGTATGAAATACCGTATATATTCGTGTATAGTATAAGATTTTATTATTTTTTACGCAAAAAATAGGGGGTCGCGCTATGCACAGATAATTTTTTTGAAGAGGTTTAAAATCATGCATGTTCTGTGACTGGCTGCACTATACACAGGTAATTTTT